AGGTGAAGTGTCTTGCCCAAGGACACAACGGCCGAGACTGTCCAAGCTGGGGCTCGAACCGGCAACCTTCCGGTTACAAGACGAACTGCCAACTCTTTGAGCCACGAACCCCCTCCCCAATAAAATTATGAATTATCTTGCATAAATAATGTTGATTTTCTTTTGATCGTTTCAGGTATTACATGCATGGTTAATGCTGAGAAGGAGAACATTTTAACCCAAACAGTGACCATTTCCTGAATCTAAGCAAGTAGTTTTCAGGTCTTAAACCTAGCCAAAGTCCGATTATAGAAAAGAAAGTTTGATTTAAACCCTCTTAATATAAATGAACCTGTTATCGCTGGGTGGGTGTGTCAAAACAGAAACATCAAAGGACGCCTTACCTGTGAGTCAGAGACACCGGAGACATCTGACAGAACAACAGCATCTGAGGTCCTGAGATCAGAACATGTTGGTCATTTTCATGTCTTTTTGTGTCTCTTCTAAGGTGAATGTTGATAGTATTTGATATATTTTAGACTCACACAAACACTTTGAGTACCATCAGGAGGTATTTGAGTTTGTTTTCTTTGACATGTGGACAAGAAGAGGCTCAGACAAGCTGAGATTCATCACTGCTGTGCCGCCTTTAGTCATACCAATCCTTAAAGATTATGATGCTTACATAAAAAATGTTATTTTTAACATGTTCACGTTATTTTAAAAGTAACCTAGTTTCTGTCTGTGCCGTGTCAAAAACGTTCTGCACCAACAAAGCATGTTCGGAAGCTGAAATCAGCAGCAGAACATATCCACCATACTTCTTGAATAAGTTCACATGGGCACAAAAAACACATCCTGGCTTAAAAAAGCTGTAAATGACTGATTCCTGCTTTTGAGAAACAGCACTGTGTTTCTGAATGCTGTCTAACACCTGCACAGACACCCATTCAGACAAGTGATGTGACAGCATCTCACTTTAGAGCGATGAAGAGGCACAATTTAGTCTTTCAGTGAAGAATGAGATCAAACACACGTATTTCATGTCCATCAACACACTCACACGCTGAGACCACTGTTCCTCATGTGAATGGACTGGTTTTTACATGTCACTTTTCTACTCGAGCAGTCAAAGCACTTTTATACAACATGTCACATTCACTGCTTCACACACACATTCATTCAAGCATTTTTTCTATGTCTAAGTGCTTTATTTCTATCTATCTTTCACACTCCAATGGACACATCAGAAGCAACTCAGGTTTCAGTATCTTACCCACGGATACTTTAACATGCAGACCGAAGCAGACAGGAATCAAACCTTCTGATCAGTAGATGATCTGCTAAACCTCCTGAGCCACAGCTAAAGCTCTTTCAGCCCACTCCTCACATCAGTGTAAAGGGCAAAGCATCTAGTTTCAGCCCAGCTCTTGCTCCATGAGTTGTTTCCATCACATGAACACTTGGTCACACCTGAGATGCACACCTGCACATCACTGCACTCCCGGTGAACCCTAACCACATCGTTCTTCACTCTCTCAAAAACACACTCATGTAACTCTGTGTCTGCGTGTGTCTGTTACTCACATCGGTCTTGGTGGCAGCCGCTTGTCAAATGGGTCATAGCAAGAGGAGAAGGAGAGGAGGAGAGAAATAAAACCAGAGTGTGAATCCTCCTCCTCCGAGAGAGAGGCTGACTGCTGAGTATGGCAGTGGGCTGTACCACCTAACAGCAGAGGGATGGAGGAGGCAGGACCAAATTATTTGTCTGCGGGAAAGTGGGGAGGAAGAGTGAGTGTGCATGCAAAAGAGAAAAATGTGAAATCACCGCTTCAAGTGTTGTAGAGAAGGACACACAGAATCAGTGGAATGAAATATTATTCAAAGGCACATTTCACTTAACTTGTACTTTAAAGTTTAAGATGTATTTCCATTTGTTGTGTACCTTTAGCTGTAACAGCAGGCAGGTGAGCCTCAGTGTTTGGCTGATGGAGATGTCACGCCACCTAGTGGATGAAATCAAGGTTGTTGAAGGCTAGCAGAAATTGAAGCGCATGCTTTTCTGCCTGTTAAAGCAAAACCCACTGTTCTGCAACACTACTGCATTCTGGGAGGAGGTGATCGCAAACCAAAAGGGAGAATTGTTATTTGAGTTTTGTAATTATTCCCCACATATATAGAGAATTAATTTTCTAGACACATCAAATGTGATTATCCTGAGCCAGAGTGCAGCTGGAGATCTGTATTAATTACAGTTTGATAGTAAACTGAAAGATTCAATTCAATTTATTTATACAGCACCAAATCACAACATAAGTCACCTCAAGGTGAGAAAAACCCAACAATCAAATGACCCCCTATGAGCAGCACTTTGGTGACAGTGGGAAGGAAAAACTCCCTTTTAACAGGAAGAAACCTCCAGCAGAACCAGGCTCAGGGAGGGGCGGGGCCATCTGCTGTGACCAGTTGGGGTGGGAGAAGGAAAACAGGATAAAGACATGCTGTGGAAGAGAGACAGAGGTTAATAACAAGTATGATTCAATGCAGAGAGGTCTATTAACACATAGTGGGTGAAAAGAAATACTCAATGCATTATGGGAATCCCCCAGCAGCCTACACCTATTGCAGCATAACGAAGGGAGGATTCAGGGACTAATAAATGTAACATCACCCATTTTTCAACATCAGCGTTTTGGCTGACATCATGTTTTGTGTTTTGGAAACCAGAAGTCACTATTTTAACCTCCAGATGATATCCACATAAAAATATGTTCCAGAGGTTCCAGGGGCTCCAATTAGCTGAGGTGACGCCTTGCAGTTAGCAGCTGGGTCACCATCCACCTGTCAATCAAAGAGGCCACACCCCTAATAATGCAAACTAAGCTGTTTTTTGTAGCCAGGTTAAAGATGGTTAATGGGAGTCGAGGGGAACAACCCACTGCTGGAGCTTCAAGTGGAAATTAGGGGAACTGCAGTTTTTGCTTCTTCCAATGTTCTTCTGAATTAATGTTTCAAGCCATAATCCATCTCAGAGTTCAATGCCTTTAAATTCCTAACAGGATGATATTCATCTAAGAAAAGAATAAATAGGAGATTTAACTCTAATGTGTTGATGAAATCAAAGCCTGCTTCTGTTTCAGCGGCCCTGCTAGCCCAACCCAGCAGTCGCCATCTAACTCATCTTTAATTACAAAATACATTAAATGGTTTCATTTTAATTAAAGCTGTCCTTTCCAATTAAGATATGATGATGAGGAGAGCAGGGCTGTCTCCTGGGCTGCTTTATTTATCTTGGAGTCAGCCTCATGTCAGCAGCTGGCTAACGGCCTCCCCACATGCATTTCAATGAGCAATTACCCATCAGACCACAAGAGGTGTGGGATAACACACAAGAAAGGCTAATTTTATGGACTAATTTGAAAAATCAAATGTGTTTGTCTGTAGAGAAGCTGCAGATTTAAAAAAAATCTGTTGGATTGACGCTCAGCTGGAGCAGTTTTATTCATTTTGTAGCTGTGATTCTTGGCCGGAATGGGATGAAGCCCCACTATAGGTTAGAGATGAGTTGCTGTCCCAAGTGGAGGAGTTCAAGTAGCTCAAGGTCGAAGGTTGGCGGAGTAAAAACTCATTCTACCTTCCTACACTCAGCTTTAGACAGAAACTCTGGGCAGTGAATGAAGGAACGAGACACTTTCAGAAACAAGCAGCGGAGCTCGCTCTGAAGGGTGGCCAGGCTCGGGGTGAGGAGCTCAGTCAATGAGGACCTCTGAGTGGAGGTGCTCCTACACTGAAAGGATTCAGTTCAGCTGCTTCTTCATCTGACTAGAATGTCTTCCAGGTGAGGTGTTTCAGGTATGTTTAAATGAAAGTAAATCAGGGGCAGAAACAGGCAGATGATGTCTCTCAGCTGGCTTTGGAAAACCTCAGTGTTCTGCCAGAAGAGCCGGAGGAGGCAGCCAGGAAAGCCAGAGCTGGGCATTTCTTAGAAACTGCTGCTCCATTGGATAAGCAGCAGAAAATGGATGCATGAATAGATGTGTAAAACTTTCCATCCATCCATCCATCTTGGGCGCACCAGTCTCAATGGATGGATGGATGGGCAAGCCAAAAGACATAATCTTTCCAGCATTTCTGGAACTGCCTCATGGTCTTCCTTCCAGTAGGAAATACCTGGAACACTTCAATTTAAGTTTTTGTTTTCATTTCATTTAAAGTTTCATTTAATATTTTGCTGTCTAATAACGGCATTTATTGCAGTTAATAGCATGAACAGAACAACATCAACACAGGAGTTAAACCCTCAGCACTGCTGCAATGACAATTCAAGTAACTGCTCTATAATGAAGGTCTAATTAATTTTTTTTTTTTTTACTCGAGCCAGAGATGCAGTCCATTTTAATCCACCTGTCACTCTACCTGCTGCTAATCTCTCTGCTGAGTGGAGCCAAATAGAAAATATGCAAAATCACACCTGCAAAGCTTTTCTCTCTCTCTCTCTCTCTCTCTCTCTCTCTCTCTCTCTCTC